ACATCCAATTCGGGTAAGTTGAGGCAAACCTGACGGCAGACTCCGGAAGTTCTCACCTCCTCACCATTTCCCATCTGAACTCCAAATTCGTGTGTAGGGGTGCGGGGTAATTTCAATTCTTCCACTAAAGTTTCAGAGAGAGTGGGATGCACCCGAGTCTACCAATATGACCACCTCACGTGACAAAATGTGTCCATGTACCTTAAGGGAATTTGCCGCACACAACCCGACAAGAGACGAAACACAAAGCGTGGCTGATTCTGGAGCCGGAGCAATTTCAGTGTCCCCGGAAGTGCAGTCCAAATTAGACGCAAGTTCCTCCACGTCATCTTGAACCCATAAAATCTGAAGTGATTTCTGAGCACAACGATGTCCCGGGCTGTATTTCTCGTCGCAACGGAAGCATAGACCCTTCGCTCGTTTCTGCTGTATCTCTTTGTCGGTCATCTTTTTGAAAGCAGGAGGTGGGGTCTTAACAATAGGGGCTGGTGCAGGAGAAGGAGGGATTGTGGCTCGTGTAGGTCGGGTGACAGCAGAAGTAGTCACTTGTGAAACCCGTGAGTTAAAGTGGGTTCCAGAGAGGGACGTCGCAGGCCCACGAGGGTATAAACTGGATTGATAGGCCCATAAGACCTGATTCTTTTCCTCAATTTTCTGGGCTGCAACCATTTTTCTAATCAGCCCAACGGGTTCCATCTGTCGGAGTTCGGCCTGGATATCTGGGCGCAACCCATTCACAAAGGCTGCTTCAAGGACTGATTCTGGTAGGTCACGTAAGGGGGCAGAAAGCACCTCGAAATGGCGACGATATTCCTTGACAGTAGTGGATTGACGTAATGATAGAAACTGCTCCTGCAAGTTTCCCTCCTGAGTTGATCGGAAACGTTCAAGGAGGAGTTCCTTGAATTCTGCCCAGCTACGAAAGGGTCGCCGACCATCCTCCCAATATTACCATGCCAGTGCATCACCCTCTAAACAGAGCACCGCTGCCTGCAGACGTTCCGCCGGAAGCAAGCCGTTAATCTCAAAATTGCACTCCGCGCGAAAAAGCCAGTCGTCTGGATTTTCCCCATCAAAAATAGGCAGCTCCAACTTCCGAGGAAGTGAATCAGAAGTATGTTCCGGGAGTGTCATTGAAGGGGACGTCGGGAAAGCTGCACCCTTCCCTTTGTCAGCCGCACGACTTGATGCGGATACAGGAGGAACATTGTCAGTTGTAGACAAAGGAGCTGACAAGGACTGTTACTGCAGCAACAGATCAAAACGCCTTACCAAGTCTTGAACGCCTCCTTCCAGGGATGTGATCTTCGACAGTCCAGCTGTTATCTCATCACGATGCCACTTCCTTAGCTGTTATCTCATCCACTTCAGAATGCAGAGAAGTCAAGCGTTCTTCGAAACCCTCCACCTGCGATCCCACTTCCTTAGCTGTCACCATGGCTGAGGAAAGACGTGCTCTGATACCACTGATATGACCCATAAATTTGACACGCAGTTCACAGACTTACAGCAGCGTTCACACACTCGAACATCAACAAAAGAAACTAGTATTCATTCAGCAGAAAACATTAACAGTTGGTTGGTTCTTCGAGAGACCGCCGGCTCTCCCAAACAATCACAATATTCTTTACTCAAAGAAAACATACCACCCCCATCCCCCAAAGCCCCTTCTTATACTCTACTGATAGCATAACTGACTCCCTCTATAAATGCCCAGCTGGCCTAGTTATAAATGCCCAAAAACTCTTCTTATTCATAACTGACATAGCTATAAATTCCCCAAGACTCTCCTTATTCCCTCCAGCTATAATTGCCCTCATGTGATTAATTGTTCAATTATTTCCCCCATATGATAGCGGGTTTTCTTGTATCATTTGGGGTAACAGCAATAGACATGCACTAAGTGGGTGGTTTTGTTTTTCATTTGATGGGTAGCATGTTTGTGTTTGGTTAAATGATTAGTGATTCACATGGAAGTGTTGTGATGATGTGAAATTATCACTCTACATGTTAAGTTACCTTGGATTACCTGATTGTCATATTCAACATTTCAAACCTGCCAATGGCCTAGACGTTCGAACCATCCAAACCATCACCAGGCACCTTTTCCGGGTCCAGTTTTCATAAAATCCACAAACCAGTCAAAAACATTGACTTGATCAGAAACCTGCCAACCCAGCTGGTTGAATCGTTGACCTGTTCAACCAGGTCACCAGATCACCGGTTGCACACTAAAATGTATTGAAATTTCCCAAGGCCATAACTTTGCTCTCAGTTTTTGGATTGTGGTGATTTTTTTATTTTGGGTAACTTTTCGAGATTTACGTGCTCCCAAGGTGTAAAGGCCCACTATTTTTGCCAAAAAAATACCTTTTTAGCCTCAATTTCCATTTTTATCCTTTTTATATTTATAAAGAATTAAAAACTGAAATAAAAATTATAAACTAGAGCTAATAAAAATTAGACCTCTCTCTCTCTAAGGCGTTGACACCTCCAAGGCGTATGCCTCAGGTGCAAGAGGTGTACGCCTCATACACTTTGTTCAAGAGGCGTGCTACAAGCATATGCCTCATGCACCTCATGCACACCTCATATAAAAAGACAAAAAAAAATGAAAAATGAAAAACGAAAGAAAGAGAAGAAAAAAAGAGAAAACAAAAGAAAAGGAAAGGGAAGAGAAAAAAGATAAGGGAAAGATTAAGAAACATGACATCATGTACACTGGATGTATTTCTTTAAGAAACATGTGATAGGCCCCAATTAATGCCAGGAAGAGGAAAGGTCAACAATCAGCTACTACCTCTAGTCATAGTTCTCAAGGCAATGCCTAGGTGATAAGGCACTCATGGAGGGTTGCCTTGCTTAATCACTAAGATATTTTTTATAAGGTGTTCTTGGCTACTTTTACTTTTTTATCTTTTTGATATTATAATATTAAAACAAGCATTATTACACTAAATTATTCAATTTGACCAAAGCTTTATATGGGTGTGAACCACTTTCCATTTTTCCATATGAGCTGGGTTCCACGACTGTTGCCTTTGTAGATGATTACCTCATTCATAAAGACAAGGTACTTCAGTTGTTGAAAACAAATCTCATTAGGGTCCAACAGAAAATGGAATTCTTCTATGACCAAAAGTGCTGCCCTCTTGAGTTTTAAGTTAGGGATTATGTTTACCTCTAAAACTATATCCTTACAGACAAACAGTAGCCTGGCGACTTCACCAAGTGTTCTCTCCTCGATTTTTTGGGCCTTTCCACATCCTTGAGTGCATCGGCCAAGTTGCTTATAAGCCTGACCTCCCAGCCTCTTCCAAGCTCCATCCAGTCTTCCACGTTTCCTTGCTTTGGAAACATTTGGGATGACAGGCCATTGCAAGTCCCATGGTGCTGGAGTTCACAGAGTGAGGGGTCCACAGCTCAAGCCTCTTCAAACCACTGACTTCCACTGGTTCCAATTTGGTAAGATAATTCAAGAAGCTTTGGTAGTCTGGGCCCAGCTCCCACTTGAAGATGCTACATGGGAATCATACAAAGAGTTGCAAGAATGTTTCACTCAGATCAGCCATGAGGGCAAGGTTACACTTAAGCTGGGGGGGAGCTGATGGGACCTATAATGGCTCGGCCAAAAGCCCATATCCTTCAGATCGAGCAGCTCCAAGACCTGGGCCTGAACAGCCCATTGAGTCCATCAGGGGTCAGCAAGGAGTGTGAGTTACATCATCCTGCCCACCATTACCTCATAAAGCCTGAGATATCTGATATTTCTACAGCAGGAGTTTATGTGGTCCCAATTAGTTATACCATATTAGAGCATCCTAGTTAGTTACTTTCACCAGAGCTGCGATGTAAAACTATATAATGATGTTGACACGGTCAAAATGGGCATGTGCAGTTGATTTCCTCATTATCTTCTCTCTTTTTTTTTCTGTAGGAGGTTGGGCCCTCTTGAAGAAGCACCTTTGTTTTGCAGGAACCCAACGCTAAGTGTCAAAAAACACCCTGACTAACCCCACAGACTTTGGGCTGATATTGCATCACCAAAAGAGCAATTGTTAATTCTTTCAGCACCAACAACCTGTTGCTCAAAAGAGCAATGGGTATTCCTGATGACCTCATCCCTTTGCAACCTGATGAAATGTCCTTTGTTTTCTTTTTTTTTTCAAAAATGCCAAATAATTGCCCTTAGATTTTTTTTTTTGAGAAGTAGAGAATAATTGCCACCAGAATTCTGCACTAAACTAAAGACCCCTTCTTGGAAGTCCTAGGCATATGCCAACTATTAAGGGCCTCCAAGACTGATTTTGGATAGAACAAACTGATTTTTAGAATACAAAGTACTTTAAGCCAGATCCTTCAACTGAACTAGCAATGCAAGAAAAGATGTTTGGCTGCTTCAAATTCATACTCTTGAAAGTCACACAACCTCTTCCACCTCCACCTCACTTCTGATCTACTTAACTATTGTGGGATATTTCTCCCATGCAGCAGTTCAGATCAGAAAAGAAATTTTAGATGTTATTGGAGGGTTCCAAGTAACCTTACTAGGGAAATTGATACCTGCTCTGTGATGAAGTCTTTTGACAACGGATTGAATTGAACCAAGAAGTGACCTGAAGGTTCCCATCTGCACACTCTTTCTAATCCAGGGCGCCTAAATGCAGGTGCTCATGCTGAAGCAATTGAAGGAACTCAATAGTGTCCTCCAATTCCCAATATTGCATATTCCTCTGAAAAGCAGGGATCCAGATTACCTGATCTTATCTTGCTTCAAAACAAGGACAGAGATTGAATTCCTTATCCACAGAAATTGGGAAGAGGCTTGGGAACACAAGGAAAAATGGATTAGGTCCATGCCATTTGTCCAACAAAAACGGAACCCTAGTTCCATAACCCACTTTAAAGCCATATCCTTTGGAAAACAGGTCATGCAGCCTTTCAAAGCCCTTAAAATGGAACACCAATAGGAATTGGTTGACATGTTGGCATCCCAGCCATTGTTTGTGGTGCAAAAATTCTTATGCTGTCTTACTTATTATCTACATAAACCCCCAGCTTGTGCGTTTACGCATGCAAAGAAAGAAAGCACTCGAGAGCAGTTATTTGACATCTTTCCATGAGAGTGGTGCTGGTGCTTTATCATCATGTTTGCAGACTTACAATTCATATTATCAGCTGTATTTAATATAAACAGTTTAAGCATCATCCTACATGGATGGTAATCCCATAGTTTATTAAGGAGCATTGTGATTCTATTTTCCTTCATGACAGGGATCTCTGCCAACCCCGAATGTTGCTGACTTTGCAATGATGTGGTCAGGACACAGATGGTTTGCATAAGGCGATGGAGAAGGCAATTGCCAGAAGTGATGTAAGTTGTGTCACTTGTTTTCTAATTATATGTTTTTTTCCCATCATGAAGTGTTAGTGGTTTGTTCATATTGTTGCCAAAAATTAGATAGCTTGTGTCCCTCTGCTTTCTCAATTCATTTTTATCATTTATTTATATTGTTGATAAATGCACCCTAATTTCTATCATATATTGTTTAGAGTGGGTTCCATGTTAGGAAAGTAACTTTTGAAGTCATTCTAAGCATAATTAATAAATCGGAGGTAATTTGAATATTCTCACAGAATATCCTACCATTAGCTACATATGTGAGTAGAAGCAATGTAAACTATGTCCAAATTAATACTAAAGCATTGTCTACAAAGTGTCACATCTTCAGAAAAAAGTTAAGTGTTTTCACAAGGAAAAGGATATTAAAGGACAATCCTTTTCAAATAAAATATCCACCAATTTCTGTTTCATGATATTAATTGTTTGATTTACCATGTAGTGTATTTGGAAGTCAATAGTGGAGTTGTAATAAGTCATGGTACTTCATATTTCCTCCCTGTTCATAAATTATTTGATGTGTGCACTATTATGTTACAGGACATTATCATGATGATGTTTCTCATTTCACCTTGCTTGGTTATAAATGGTTGTATGTGGGATGTTTAACTTTTTTATTAGCTTATAGCTACTATATAAGCTATGGTGCATAATTGTCTAGGGGAGCTAGGATTCCTTACTGAACCTTGCTTTGCTTAACATGGTCAAGTGTTTGGGACTGTGAGGATGAAAGTGTGGTGCATTGGCAAGGCAAGCATTGACTGCAGCTAGAGAGGCAGGCTTCATGGCGAGTTACAACAGATTAGTGCTCATTTGCTGGAGGGTAATTTGATAGTTGTGCTGGAGGGTAATTTGATAGTTGTGCTTGGTTGCTTGTATGAGCAATTGGTGATCATTAGACTCATGATGCGTGGCAAGAGAGAACCTGATGCGGATGGAAGTTCCTCATTTTTATCAAGAAGGTAGTCAAGGGGGCTGACTTTCATACTAGTGTAGGGCTTGGTCATTCAAACTCAATTAGGTAGCAGGATAGGCAAATCCTTGAGATTGAGGACTTTGTCAGAGGCTACAGATTGATTATTGTAGTAATCTACCTGTTCTCAGCATCTTACATTTAGAGTTTTGTGTTACAAAGGATGGGGCACAGCCACTTCTTGTCCAACTGTAGCTGTTGAGTTAATGAAAGAGAGAATAGCTTTTCTTAAATATGTGGTTGGTTGCCTTGAGGAGAAATGATTAGGAACTTTCTTCCACATTTTAAAACCACATGCCGAAAATATGTTCTAGCTTATTTTAGCATTTTTAATTATAACTTCAACTTAAAGAAAAAAATTCAGTTTCAATGTTTTAATTTCCAGGTAACTATTTACCATTACTTAGTTCTCTGTTCTCGAGGTTTGTTTGTTTTTATAATGGAATGGTTGTGGTATGTATTATTTTCATATTAGAAAAAAATAATGATTAACTAGTATTTTCTTTAAATGTTTAATGCAAAATCAAAGGAACACATGCATATCCAGTATGTTTGGCCTGTGGATTTAGTTGTATATCACAATAAAGACAACCATTTTATGGAATTTGGTAGATATTTATGGTTTAATAAAAATAATTTTTATTCTCAATATGTAAAACAGCTAGATTAGTATCTTTTGACATTGTGTATATCAATGTTTGACCTAGTTCAACTTTAAAAGCTGAACTTTTTGTTCCTTTTTGTCTTCTTATACCAAGCTAATATGCAAGGGGCAAGGACATGTATATAAAATAATACTTGTTTTTTCTGTTTCTTTATTTTTGTACTTTTTGCTTGTATTCTGCAATAGTTTCTTTTGTTTACGTTTGAATAAAGAAAATGTATCAACATACTGAGTTTTCACACTCACCATACATTTTGTGTACTATTTTTGACACTAATAAACATGCCCATCTCCAAGAATCTTCCAACCATTTTATTTACAGTATCTCTCTCCAAGCCATTACCGAAGGCAAAAACATAAGTAACACCAGTTATTGATATCTCCTGAAACTATAGGGCTCGTGGTCTGGTTCTTCACCTTCCCATTCAGTCATAGAGAAAGCATTAGCAAACCAACCAAAATCTTGTGAGCGGGAGATTGATAGAAGATTCTTGAAGCTAGGAGAAAAAATAGCATCCGGATCTTGTGGAGATTTGTAAGTTGCAAATAATATTAGAAATATGCCACTTCTGACCATTTTGTGTTACAATTTCAATCTCTGTTGCTCACTATGTCTTTTTGAAAGGTATCATGGAGTTTACTCAGGTGAGGATGTTGCTGTTAAAGTTCTTAGATCTGAGCATCTAAATGAAGCTTTGGAGGTAGAGTTTACCCAGGAAGTACTGATCCTAAGGTGAATATTTGCATGTTACTATGTTACTTTTCTTATTCATTTGGTTCCTAATTTTAAAACTATTGAATGAATGAGATCCTGTTAAATTGTGACACAAACTATCCAACAGATTCTAACTTTTCATGTATACATACAAGTGAGTAGACTTTTTGATGTTATTTTGTATTTTTCTTGTTGTTTTGCATTCTTCCAATAAAAGGAAAGCAAAGATCATAAAATAATTTGAGAATTCCCTTGCA